AAGCATACAAAAATTCGAATTGTATAATGTATAAAACAATCAAACTCTCAATCTCTATCTTCTCTCTCTTTCTCTATTCTCCCAAATATTTTACTCTATAAATTGAAATGTATAAACCCTTCCTCTCCCTCTCTCTCTCTCTCTCTCTCTCTCTCTCTCTTTCTCTCTCTCTCTCTCTCTCTCTCTCTCTCTCTCTCTCTCTCTCTCTCTCTCTCTTCTGTACTACTAAAAACTAATATTTTTTCGTGATATCGCGATCCGTTAAACAATGTCTGTTAAACAAGCGCAGCCGCGCCCCTTCCCATAGCCCTTCAATAATGATATCAAGCCGAAACCTCATGCTTACGAAATTCTCCACATATTTCGCTAATAAATAGTTACTAGGCGCGCTATGGCAGCGACCACAACCAATAAAATGAATTTGGTCCTGGTACCGAAAACCGAATTCATGAAATTTCCAATGCATAATTCATTTGGCCAACAAATTGATTGGAATGTTTATGCGCTTTCGCAGCAATTCAATTTACGCAGCAACAAATTTGAATTACCTACAAACTCCGAGCGCCACCCACAGAGTCCACAAAGCAAAACAAATGAAATGCAATACTAAAGTCCGACAGCGTGAGGTTGAAGGGGAGAGAGGGAGAGGGAGAGGGAGAGAACAGTGGCCAAACAATGCAAAAATTGAAAATCCAGAGCCTGTCTGCAGCTGGGGCACGCGTCGCGTCGTCGATGTCTCTTTGCCATAATTCAGAGCAGAGAACACATGAAAGTAATTTAAAATTGCGCAATTCACACTGCCACGCCCACAGTGATCGGAGCAGCAAGGAAACACGAACAAAAAAAAAGTTAAACATATATGTATGTATAAAAGGGAAATATTTGACAGACAAACCGCAGCAAACGATTTTCCCACGCAAGCAAAACCTTTCAGTAGTGGGCATATAATCGAAATTGAATTTTGGGCAAAGTGCGCGAAAAGTTTCGTGCCCGAGGCGGAAAATGCAGTTTCCCATCGTTAAAATGCTGAACCAAAAGTAATTGCAATTGCATGGGACACGTGCGGGGTGCAAATTGCTCGAGCCAGAGAGAGAGTGAGAATGAGAGAGAGGGCGATAGAAAGTACTCCTGTATGCCTGATTGAGACATATCAGTTGCCATTGCCACTTGAGGTTGAGGTTGTTCTAGGGTAGGTTACGCATATCACACGCATCACAAACTACTGCCAGCCTGGGAATGGGACAGGAACAGGGACAGGGACAGGGTAAGAGAGTTTGTGGTACGAGGATCTTTGTAGCATCTCCCCTGCGGCTTTATGAATTATGCTCTCTGACTACTGCGTAAAATGTTTTCATTTGACAATGCCCATGACGCGGCAAGTTTTTTATTTTTTTTATTCTATTCAGAGATTGGATGGGGTTTTTTTCTTTTTTTAGGGTATGTAAAGTACTTGAAAAGGTTTTCTGTGGAAATGCGTTGCTATCAATGTTTATTCAAGGTAGTCGGGATCGCTTCTACCTCGCAGCATTGCATTGTTCCACATTTAATTAAACAAACTGCCAACAGCAACACATTAATGGGAACAGTTTTTTGTGTGTAAACAGGACTAGTTCTCTACTTTTTGCCCCGGCTGAAGGGAAAGCTACGAAACCGGATTGCAAATCAAATTAGTTGAATGAAACTCATATGCATGAGCTGATACTCAAGTGGCGCATTATGCAATTAAATAAATTAAAGATGGGTAAATATTTGGAGAGCGTATTCATATAAATGAAGTACAGACTCGAAAATGGATGAACAGAATATGATCGAGCAATATCAGTGCATGTGAAGCAGAAGCACTCGAGTGAAGAAGGAAGTCGTTTATTTGTCTAACGCTGAGCTGATCTAGTCTGGTTAGAATTTTAATTGAATAATAAATGTGTAAATTTTTTTTGAATTGAATAAATATTGTTTTTATAATTACAGAAATAATAAAAATAATAAAAAATAAACTGACAAAAATAATGAAAAATATAATACTCATTTATTTATTACTATTTGATAATTGTTCGAGCATCAAATTTGCTTTTCGATAAAATATATCAAATATAGTTGAAAGATTAAATATATAGCAATTATTTTTATGCAGATAAATAAATAAAAAAAATAAAAATAAAATTAATAATAAAAAAAACAATAATAATTTACAATTATTATTATTATAAAATCTTATTTTCCAAATTTTGCATTTTAAGTGTAAATAAATTAACAAAAAATAATAAAATATTTGATATAATAAAATAATAATATTAAGTTTGTCATTTTACTATATACATATTTGCAATATTAAATTATTTCATATTTCCTATTTACATATAGTGCACGAGGATAATAATTGAATTAAATGATTTTCCATTCTATTGGCACTTTTTTCAATTATTATTCTCGTTCAGTTTTCTCATGCAAATAACATTTCATCAGCTGAAATTGTTTGCAGATTCAGCCAACAGAGTGAGAGAGCGAGCTGAAATTGTTCTTTTTCTATCCATTTTCTTCTACATTTTTTCCCCCTTCCGACAGCCACTTGCTGCTGGCCACGGAAATGCTCAGCTAAGTGTAAATCATATTTTCGTTTATAAATATTTTAAGAGTATTTCAAAACTAAATAAAAGAGAAGAAGAGGAAAATAAAATGCCACATGGTATTTTTATATTTTACACAATTTCACACATATTTTCGCATATATGCACTCGAAATTTTACGGTATAGAAACGTAATGAAATTGCTGCCACTCCCACCGGCGGGTAGTTAATAAAAATGATTGAGTGAGTGCTAAATGGAACCGATGTTAGTTTTAGACTCTCAATATACAATTGCAGCATTAATTACACAAATATTTCACGCGATTCTCTATTTTTGTTGTTGTCTGAAAATGCTATCGAAGTATGCGCATGGTGCATGTTCGATCCTCATCCGAATCTATCCTTGGCAACGATTCGTCTCTTCGATTGGCGTGTTTATACGCCCGAACAGCTCGAAACAATTGCACGGATTTCTCAAATTCCTTACAGTGTAGCTTTTTGTGATACACTTACAGTGTGTACTGTTTTACTGCTGTCAAGAGAACTGTAATGAATGAAGAAAGTTTTAGATAAAACTATATATATGTATTTAATCTTATTTATAAAATTCTCAATTATAAATATTATATATGCCTATATACTGACTTTACAAATTAATATGCGGATACGGAGTATGCGCTAATTAACTTCAGTTATCATGGCATTTCGTCATAGGTATTTCTTGTTCAACCCGTTTGTAAATTATTATTAATTAGATTCACGTTCTTAGTGCTCTATTAAACTTGTAGACTTCAAACTTTACAAGATACATACCTTAATACGCATACATACATATATTCGCCCTTACCTTTGTAACATAATTTTCCTTTATTTTTCTTGAAAGCCTCTTGAATATTTCAAAATTCAAGTAACTTTACCAATTCTAAAATAACTTTCATCAGTGCATTTAATCTTCGACTTGCCCTCGCTTAGGAACATTTTGTTTTACTGCCTTGTTGTTTGCAAAAAATAACCCGAAATCTCGTCTACGTTCCATCGAGCATGTTGAACGAACGGTTTGAGTGTGGTTAGATGGAGCAGCAACAGGAGCAGGAGTAGGGCAACTGAGCTTTGGGGCTGGTGGTTGGAGGCTGACGGCTGGAGGGCTCGCTCTCAGCATGCCTTGTGCCGTTTTGCTATTTCAATTGAAATTTGCTTATTGCAAAATGGTATTTTGTTTTCATTGCGCACGTTGGATAGTTTGAAGAATTTCTCCAATTTTTTTATTTTTTTTTTTTTTTTAGATTATACTGTGGTGTAAGTGTATGGGAAATGTAAACCCAGACAGCAGCATTGCAACGTGCAAAAGTATTTTGCGAATTTATGTAATAAAGTTACCAAGTATTTCAGCAATAGCGTCACCTGCCTTGAGGGAAGGATATGGGGAAAAGGATGCTTTACAACAGCTGAGCAATTTATATGGAAGTTTTTACACTTAAAGACTATTAGTAGAGTGTGAGATGAATATAATGAAAATATGCTAACGATAGCTTAGTGATAAGTATTGTTTATGAATTCTGTTATATATAATTTAACACTCGACTTGTTTATCAATATAATAAAAAACATTGGGACTACATTCGATATCTAGTTTGGCATTGATCAATCGAGATAGAGTTTACTCTCTTTGAATATCCAGGCTTGTTCATTACGAATTATAAATCGAACATTCCTTCCCTCACTAAAACTATACGTATAATGTCACTTATATAATGTAAGACTAGCAGCTGAAAGTTGCTATTATCTCTCCAAAAACCCCTTGACGACACACGTATACATATGTATTATTAAATGCGAAGTGCTCAGACGGCTTTTGCTGATAAACTCAGCTACTGCAAGTGCCACAAATATTGAGCTAAGCCTCTTACTGAACACCAACACATATCGCATGAATTGGCACTGATAATGTTCTGTGCCGAACTTGACCGATAAGACGAAACAATGTACGAATTGAGCAAGGTCATGAATGAACAATAAACGGCTGGATTACCCGATTTCTATGAAGATATTTCAGTGGGTAAATAGATAGATTGCCCTAAAATAATGTAAAATAGACAGATATTACAATTCAAATTTAGGTCTTATCAATTTATTGGAAAACAGCATGACTGCGTTACGAACAGTTTGTTTTGCATGTATTTAAATTATCAGCTGAACAAATTGGATTTTCTCCAAATTCATGCAGATTTTCTAGTTATCTTTTTTCCACACTGCTGTAAGTAATATTTAACCCATAGCTCTGCATAATTTTAAGATCAGTATACGGTGAATTTTCAAGCCGTCGACATGTCTTCTGAGACTCTATTCCTTTCGTGTCTCGCGGTTCTACTTATCAATGGATCGCGTGGAGCAAACATTTTAGCAATATTTAGTTTTCCTGCTCCTTCGCATTTGATTGTTGAAATGTCAATGGCCAAAGTGTTGGCTGAGAATGGGCATAATGTCACGGTGGTCACATCTCTGAAGCCTCATGTAACTCACAGGAATCTCAACCATATATACGTGCCACTGACTGAGAAGGAGCACGCAGCACATGAAGCGAGCATAGCCAACATGACTGAGAGAGACAATTCGAATATGTTCAGGGCTCTGTTTCACATGAGGAAAGAAATTTATATCGCGAATAACATCAACTTTAATGTTATGAAAAATCAACGCGTTCGAGATCTGTACGAGAACAAGGATAACAAATTCGATCTTGTGATGGTCGGTTTCTGCTTTAATAACTTTCAAATCGGCATCGCACAGAAGCTGAAGGTTCCAGTGGTGGTGGCGACCTCAATGTTCCCATCGAAAATATTCGACCCAATGCTTGGAGATATACAGACGCAATCCTATGTTCCATCAATGTTTCTTTCCATGGGAAAAGGTCAAGTAATGAGTTTATTGCAACGAATAAAAAATTACCAGACAATCAGCATGATCGAAATAATTAGGTATCTTATTGACATAGATAACGCCAACTATTACCAGTAAGTCAAAACACACAGATATCAGGGGAAATATTTAAACCACTGAACTATTTAAATTGTTGCAGGCAACTCTATGGCGATGATCCGACGATGCCAAAATATGAGGAGCTCAACAAAAATGTATCACTTGTCCTCTTCAATTCGCATAGCCTTAGCGAAGGCCCCATTCGGCCCAATTTCCCGGGAGCTATTGAAGTTGGAGGAATTCAAATTAAGGAAAAGCCCGATCCCTTGCCAAAACCAATTGCTGACTTTTTACAAAATGCTAC